ATTTTAGCCTCCCACCCCAGAAGAAAGCACTGCTTAAAAAAAAAAAAAAAATCCAACCCAAACCAAACAATAAAAAAAACCCAAAACCAAAAACCCAGACAAAAACCGCACACACTCAAAAGCAGGCTATTTCAGTGTTTTGAAGGCTTCACAAACATTACGAAGGACACATGCTTCTAAGGAAAGGCTATATAGATTTTTTTTTTTTTTTAAATGAACAAAGAGAAGCAAACAAACAGGAGAAGGAGCTTTCACTCCCTTCCCCATCAATGCTGAAGTGTTGATACAGTAACAAAGCTGGCTTTCTTTTGATGGAAATATGTAAAAAGTACTTTATAAAAAATACAATCAACATAAGTGATCAATGGGTTTTAGTTCTAAGTTAATGCAACATCTGCAGCGCTGCTGTTAGAACAGTTGATAAGGAACAAGAAAGGAAAAGTTGAGGGTGTGCTATTTTTTCTTATTTTAAGGAAGAAAGAATTACTTTAAAAGCATTCTTGAAAAAGAGAGCACCACTAAACTCCAACAGCAAAAGCTGAAAAGAATAGTCTAGATTCAGAACCAGTTACATGAAATAGTGTTTTGTTTTATGCTATAAAGGGTGTCTGAAGTTGCTTATCTGTGCAGTCAGGAAGGTCAACTCAATACATTGAGTACTAGTTTGCAGCCAAAATTAAACACTCATCATGGAACCACAGAACAGCCCAGTTCAGAAGGAACCTTGAAAGAACATGCAGTCCAATCTTTTATGGGACAGGGAGCCGAGATGAGATTATCTAGCACCCTGTCCAATTACATCCTAAAAAACTCCAGTGGTAGGGACTCTACCACATTCCAGAGGAAGTTGTTCCAGTGAGTGACTGTTCTAATTGTAAAAAAAAATTTTCTTTCTTATACGGAGATAAAACCTCTCTCCTGGTACAACTTGTACCCATTGCCCCTTGTCTTGTCCGTGTGGTACCTTGTGAAGAGAGAGCCTTCATCCTCTTGTTCCACTGTGCAGCCTCTGTCTACTCTGTTCCACCAAAAACTTCCTGCATTACCATCTGTGCTAGTGTCTCATGTATAAATTAAGAAAAGGCAACAGCATTTCCCTAACTTAGAAAGGTATTATGAAATGCTCACATAGTACAGCAACAAAGGTCATATAAATAACTCAACAGCTGTAAAAATAAGTATACACACATACACACAATTGTGTGTATATACATATATGTATATACATACACCCACTCTGTACAGGTGGTATTTTGCATGTTTATCCATACTGCTGGTGCAAGTCTGTGGTACATCTGAGTGTATCTGGCAACATGGGAACAGATTGGACTGTCAAACCGGACCTGATTTGATCAGGCTTTACTCACAGCTGAAGTCACCTATGCAGCCTGTGTTAAGATTCGTAAGTCTGATTTTCAGGTATCACTTCCCCTCAGTGTAGGGACAACTAATGACCGTTGACTTAACTGGGTTTTATAAACCCGCAGTAAAAATCCCATTGAAGTTAAAAAAAACCCCAAACAAATAGATATCACAATTAAGTAATAACATATTCATTTTGATTTCTATAACAACATGTACTCAGTTTAACAAAGGCAAAAGGAAGAAAGTCCATGCACAAGGGTACTTATGCTCTAAACTGGTTGCTGATCAGTTCAGTGATTCAATTAAGTCATAGTACCTATCTGTACCATGATATTTATCTTGATTTTTAATGCAGTTTTCCTTTCATAGTGTTTAGCCTACTAACTCTACTTGGCTTTTGAAAGGAACACTTCCTATTTTTTTTATAGTCAGTACTTTAACAAGAAAGAAATCTACAGATTTAGATTGTAATTAAGATGAAGTAGTTGCTCACATATAAGAGTGAAGCGAGGGCTCTACAGTCCTTGACGTTGGCCCTGTCTGCTTCAGCTTACTCAGCAGAAGAAGGTCTACCTGAACTGAGTTTTGAGGAAAGGGAACAGGGACATATGTCTACACCAACTGTTCACATGGTCTGCTGCTGCATGACCCAATAGCTGGCCTTTTGTATTCAACAATATAGGCTGAGGTTTTTTGTTACTGACATAAAAAAGAAACCTGTCAGTCAATTGCTTAAAACATTTGGGGGAGGGAGAACGAAACCAAAACCGCACTGATAACATGACATACAGTCATGTTCACGCATCCAGCAGTATATCTAGTTTTATCCATGGGCACTAAATATTTGATAGGAAACCAGATGCACTATTTGTTATTAAGAGACTGTTATCAAGGATAATTACATCATCGCTTTCTCACATGTAAAAAAACCAAGCAAACAAAACTCGCCCCGTGCTGCAAATTACTTCAAGTATATCATTAAATCCCTTTTCCTTTGCATTCTGACCTTTCACTTAACATACTTTGTTGCTTCAAGCAAGACTACTTTCAACTGCATTTCAGTAACATCACATCCTTTGCTATGATTCACAGAAAATTGTATCTCTATTTATAAAGGAAATTACGCTCCCACTCCCATTTAGGTTTGAGCAAAACCTGTTCAGTTATTTCAGTTCTAGTGTAATAGCAAGAAAAAGTACTTGAAAGCCTATATAGGTCTGGGAGAAGTAACTGCTTACACACTGAAATTAATTAAGCATCCGTATTTTCAGAAAAACTAGAATCAGCACTATCAGACTGTAAACAAAAATAGTTAAAGTAAAAACATAACTTGAATTACGTACTATTGCAAACTACAACCCTCCTATTTTAGTTTAGCATTTCTTTATTAAATTGAAAGTATAATTACCAAGTGCATTAGTTTTTATACTTTTGTTTTTTATTTGCCAGCGAGGTAAGTATGCTACATCAAGCCAAGTAATATTGCTTTAGTAGGACCACTGTTACAAAGTGCCATATTTACAAATGCCTTTATACATTAAAACCCCCCAGAACCTTTCAGTCCTCAAATTTAAGGTCAATCTGAAAAAAACAAAGCATCCAAACAAAACCACATCCATATCATTAGTCATCTTCAAATTTGACTTCAACAGTGTTTGTATGACTAAACCTTAACTAACACTGCCCAACATAGAATGCAATCCTCACTAAAGCGTGAAACTAGATGTTTCTGTTAACGTACTGAACACTAGCTACAGGGGGTGGAGAGAAAGGGAAAATGTGTCACTCAATTTCAGTAAATCTCTTCAAACCACCCACAAACCACAATAGTTAACTTGGGCTTTTTTTTTTTTTTTTTCCAGAGCTGAATATAGTAAGAAATACAAAGCCACAAACGGAAAGCTTCTTTTTCCTTGTTGTTTAAACACACATACACACCAGACCTAGTAATGTTTCATGTTAAAAAACTTTCAAAAATAACATTTCAAATTCCCCCTTGGATCTACATAACATACTTGCCTACAAAAAGCAACCCTGGAAGTGAAATTTCACTCCTCCTAAATAACATCCTAAATTCTACCTTTATCATCCTTTTTATACTATCAATAAGAGTAAAAACCAGTTTGCCCTTCTGTATGTGAAGGCACTGGGCAGGGCAGCTACTTCTCTTTTGCTTATGGCCCCACCTATCAGGTTATCGATCAGACTGCATGGTTACGTGTGCGCCACAGTTTTACAACTCGAACAATGGGCAAGATGTAGGTACAGAGGCTGGACGCTGAAGAAGGAGTCTTACATGTATGCATGAGACTTGACAAGTCTGCTCACCCTTCATGATGCCAGCCTGCACTCTCTTTTTCATGTGACCATCTTCACACCTCTAGCACCTGCTCCCCCAAAACATCCAGTCTCCACACAACGCAGAACTTGTTCCGTTATCTCTCTTACCTCCAGTGATTTAGTGAATACCACCATACCCCTACCTCTTCCCTCCCTCTCATTTCAGCTTGATCTTCCTTCATTGTTCTCTGTCCTTACTTATACACAGGATCTACTTTCACTGTGCTGAAAGCAACTAAGATCTCCTTCAGGACTTGCATTCAGACTTGGAATTTTGCTGGAAATTTTGCCAAGTTAATTTTCTAGTTCTACTGAATCCTAGTCCATAACCTCAGTCACCATTCATCTCAGTTGATTCATTTCTGCATTCCTAAAAAACCTGCTAATTTCAAAACTTTTATGGGGATTTTCTTTTGGAAGAGATGCAGTTGTTCTGAAAGAAAAACCATATACATAAGACTTATGATAACAATCTTTCCTCCATGATATTAACAAGGACTTGTTATGTGCGTTCTACATATTACCATGTATTTTTCTGGCCTCAACCTTCTCAATTACTGCAGCATAAAGATATGGATTCAGTTTACAGCATTTTTAGTAAGTTATAAAACAAAGAAATTGAGCTTCACTTGAATCTTAGCTTCCCAACACAAAGTGTTCCAACCACTGAGCTAGTGAAAACAGAACAATCGCCTATCTCCCAACTGTTCTAAGGGAATATCTCAGCTCTTGGTTGAATCCTATTCTGTATTTATGTGTTTATGCTCTTATTTTTATTATAAACCATTCTGTTAAGACAACTTGTTGCATAGAAAATATTTAAACCTTGTCTATAGTGGCAATTTCACCCAAAATCCAGAACTGATTCTGAAAGTCAGCATTGTAAAAATCAAGCGCCCCCCACATTTCAATAGTCTGTACCAATCACTAGTTAGAAATTAATTTTTCGTACTCTCATCTACACAGTGAGATTATTCAGTCTTAATTCCCTGTAGGTTTTGTTCCCCTCTTCATAGCACTAATTCGTCTTTAAAAAAAAATAATTTTAATTTGAGAGCCCATACCCTGATCCTCTAATGGTACTGCCTATTTTATCAATGGCATCATCATTTTCTGAACTGAGGATTTTATATAGAGAATCAGAAAACATGGTACTTGAAAACTGCAAACGCTTCAAACACCAAAATCATGAAAAAAAATATTTCCATGTAAGTACAGATATCTATTATTTTAACCACATATGCAAATGCACTTATTGGAAACAAAGTAAATTCAAGAAAGCATGATTTGCTTACCTTTGAGAGTTCCATTCCAGGTCCACACTGTTTGCAGAGGATACAGTTTCCAGCGTGGTCCCTAAATTCTTGCTCTCTGCAATCTCCAGTCTCACAAATTACCCTACTTAGCTAGGAAAAAAAAAAAAAAGTAAACTCACCAAAACAGAATTAACTCACCAAAACAGAATTAATCTGTGATTAACATATAATTTATATAAGCTCTAAATCTGAGAAACAAATTCATATTTCTAGCTTAAAAATAACTTCCTGTATTATCAAAAACTTCAAATATGGCAATGAAAATTAATAATCTAACTCCAAATATAGATAAGTGGCCTGAATTTTAAAGGTACTCAGTGACTTGCAATACTTTTACAATTTTTAGAAGACCTGCTTGATATTTGGCACTTGTGGAATGTTAAAACACGTAATTGTTTGAACATGAGCTTGAATTCCTCACCTTACTCAACATCATGAAAAATGCACATGACCGTTTACTAAAACTACAGTTTTCGTGACAGTAAGCTATGTCACATCATCTTATATTGCAGCATATCATTTATTTGTGATTTTTTATTTTTCTAATTATACTATTACAACTGAGTAAATAAGCTAAAATCTATTCCTTTAAACATAAATATCTTAAAAGGTCACTCAAACCTTTCTGAAACTTAAAAAACCCCAAACCTGTACAAATACTATTTATTCTAAATTTCACTATCACTTTATATTTAATGGGCCAAATGAGAGAGAATCCAATTTCTGCCTTCAAAGGCATTTAAGTACATTATCTGACCAAATCAGAAACTAAGGTTATAAGAAATACCGTAAGAAGTAATATCAGCCATGCAAAGTCTCACTATAATCACTGGAATACTACCCACGAACATTAGCAAACCCTGTGAGCTCTGTCAACAGAATTGAAAATTAAATGTCTAGATACAGGCTTCCATCACAGAAAGTACTCTCCACAATTGCTACTAACTTCTCACTTTGTGTATTAGTCTTTTCAAAAAGACCAAAGCCTTTCTCATAGCTATGAAGCATTAATTACCCTTAGTTCTAGAGCTTGTCTCTGCAAGCCAGAGTTGAAGTACGCTTAGTAGGCAATGTAATTGTGTGCTATGTTATGTTCTGTGGATAAACCGAATACTCCAAACTCCTGAACTATACATTTAAAACATACTGTACTAAGAGACGGCTACTGCAAATTCCCTAGAATTTCTGCCATCTCTCTGAAGTGAAGCAGTATCACCTTCATGGAACTATAGTCACATGTTTTCTGTCCTAGTCCAGTCCTTCTATCATGAAGAGGCTCACAAGGTAAAATTTTTTAATTGCATGTGAGGAATAGCAATAAAGAAATCAGTTGACCAAGCTCACTTTTAAATTGATAAAATGCATATGTAATTGTCTGCATATACGTGTTTAAGACTTTTAGTGTTAGCAGTAATGTGTAAAACAAAAGACAATTCCTGTGTCCAATATAATTTTTTCAAGATTCATCCTGAGTGGGGAAAAAAAAAATAATTTACCAAATAAGCTAGCAAAATTATGAGCATCTTCAGTTTATCTTCTCCTTGTAATCCTTTAGCATCCATTTCTTACAATTAAACTTTCTCCCTAGAAAAAAAATTAAAAGAAAATAGAAAAAATCGTTACATTTCACAATGTTATTTAAATTGCAAAAGTCATATGTCCATAGTACTTCATGTCATTCAGCATTTCAAAATATGTATCTGTTAATGCCATTAAAATATTTCAGATGGATTCCTGGAAGCTGAACAACAAACATATGCTTTAAAAATCATGTTCTTTTTTTAGAAGACAAGCAATACACACAGAGTTTCTATAGCCTTAATTCTCAAAGGAAGAGACTGCTCTCAGTCTAGATTAAAGAACATCAACATTTGTAAATCTAATATTTTCTAACATCCCTAACATATCTTTCTTGCTTCTTAGATGCCCAACTAAGTGCATGATCAACAGACACAAGTCAATTTCTTCAAATATGCCACATACCAGCCAAGACATAGCTGACCACGAGAATGTTCCTTCTGTGGTGCAGTGGGGAGCAGAGTGGCTTTGCCTAGCAGCTTAAGATCACCTCTTGTACTTCAACTCTGCCATGAAATGGAAGCACACACGGGATATCTGTTTCTACCACTTACCTAAGGGATATTAACTTCTTAAAGTGTTTTAACATGATTGTTTACGATCTGGTAGGCAAAGACTATTACAGAAGACACCTCAAACAGCATAACCAAATCACATCCTACCTCAGACAATTTCTATCATAATCACAAGAAGAGGAGAAAAAAAAAAAGTCCATAAAGCCTTACTTAATTATTTTTTAAGAAGTGTTTACAAACAAGTAATTAAAAAAAAATACAATGAAGAGAAACTATTTGAAACCGTCATGGAAAGAAAGTTCTAATTTGGGATTAGTTTTTTTTGATTATTAAATCAAGGAACTGCACCCCCACAATCATTAAGAATATTCTGCTTGGCCAACAGAACATTTTTTTTCTTTGCTTACTTTCCTTTTGTTTATTTGAGTCTTTGTGTTAATTTCCGGCTTCTTACTTTTTGTTTTTGTCAGTTGCCTAGAAATGCAAGCCTAACTTTTAGTTCAGAAATCCAAATTATATAGCAACCATAACAAGAATAAATAAATTCAGCTTATGTAACATGCTATTTGAATTTGATCCTAATTTGCATAACTTATATGACAGTAATATGTCATAGATTTCAGTTAGATGTGAAATACAATGTTTAAAACAGCTTAAGGACTGATGTTTTAAAAGAAAAAGTAATTTTTATCATTTAAGAGTAGAAGAGACTGACAAATGAAAGGATGGAACCCAAAACATAAGGAAAGTAATACAGAAAAAGATTAAGAACAGTTGCAAAATGCTTTACAATATGGAACTGTAACAAGCATAATACACTTGAAAAAATACACAACCAGAATAAGCACAAACTGTAACTAACACACAAATTAACATTTTACTGCATGAATACCCTAATTGAAGAATTCTAATCAATAAGAAGAAAGTATACTGCAGTGGCACTATTGATAACCTTTAAGATAAATTGTACTTTGAAGTGTAAAAAGAGCTAAAGTCTGCTAGGAAGAACAGAACAGGCAAAGAGGTGTGTCAGGCAACACTCTACAGGAAAGCCAAGATTACATTTTTATGGTTATTTCCCACTTAGTGATGGTAACTGTCTATGAGCCAATAACAATTATCAGATTATACGCATGTCAACATGGGTAAAAAAGAAGACATACCATCAAGTAACACAAATACACACAGATACAGTATTTGACACAGATTGCTTTTTTAAGTCTGAGAAAAAAAAAATAAGCAGAGAAACATGAAATGGGAAATCTCAGAAAGAATTCTGGATGACCCAAATACAACAATTTGATGTAAAAGGCACTGTAGAACAAATAGAAAAATGGAAAAGGAGAGACAACAAATTTTAAAAGTTATGAAGTGCACAAGTTTGGCACGAGAAGCTGACAGCACTAAGGCTGCAAAAAAAAAAAAATTAGGTATATAAGAACAAAACTATTTCTAGTAATAGCAAAGACCAAACAGTGGACAGAGACAGTAAAAATACTGTTAAGGGAACTCGGAAGTTTCAAGAAATGTTTCTCAACTACATTTGGAAAGAAACGAGATGGATAAAAAACCCATGCATCATATAACACATCTTCTAGCTGAACAGTAACTGAAGATCTGTTAAGTAAAAACAAAAGACAGATTGTGAGACTTTGCACCTCAGTAACCTTGAAAAAAGCATCAAGAAAGACTTAAGCATGCTGCTGCTCAATTTTTACACAGCTTGGAATGCTACAGAAATTCAAGAGTGGTAATGTTATGAAAAGATTAAAAAAAGAACTAAGAACAGTAATACAACAAATATCTCTACACAGTATTACAGGAAAGCAGTCCTGCAAAACAAACTTGACTTCACTTGATTCAGAGAAGACAAGACAATAAAGCTAAAAGTCTAAAAGTTAAATGATATAAACGGTTTAAATATTAATTCAAAGAATCATGATTAAACAAAAGGGATTTGGGAGACAAATCCCCATTGACTTCTTGATTTCACATAACAGTATTCAGTGGAAAAAATTAAATATTTTATATGCTTTCTTAATTGCTACAGGAGGCAAAATTTTATGTAAGTGTGCAAGTGAAATAGAGCTGTAAATGTAACTGAGTTGCTTAGAACTGAACGTTAACTCATTATTCCAAATCATATGAACTTATCATCATTTTATTCCTTAATAATATTATTGCTAAAGAAAAAAAAGATAGCACAGTTCTAATGCAATTATGACCCTCTATATAATACTACCAAAATTTTTAAAAATAGGATTCTTCATAAGGTTAAAAGTACATTTTATTTTAAATTTTAAGATTTACTTTTGCTTCTGAAAATACATGTAATATATCATAAAAGAAATTGACTATCATAATAATTGTATATTTTTATGTTGTTTCATGTAGAATTATCAGTACAAACAATACTGGTGAGCTGTACTAAGCCTATTGTTCTAAAATATGGAGCTGTGACATAATCAGAAGTTTGTATTTTTTCTGAGCTTTCTTACCTGAAGTATAGAAAAATAAAGAAAATTAAAAACATCCTGATAACTGGCCAGCAGATTCAGTACTTCCCATATTATACCAATAAAACTATATTAGGTTTATGTAATGAAGCCACATTCATCCTATACATTTTTTCCAATATGCAATAACCCGAAAATTTAATATTGTAGAAAGGTTAGCGTATAAACAATTTAATAAAATCAATATTGAAACAAAGGTAGTGATGTATTTTGATGTTTGTAATATTCTGGAGTCACAATTGGATTAAAACAATTGACTGGATAAAAAACAAATACCTGTTCTTAATAGAAGCTAGCACAGACTAGCAAGCAGTATTAAAAATGTTGCTGGTCATGCTGACCGCTCGCATTTCAGTTTTGGAGTTGCCGTATCTGTTGTAAGATTATCTTCTTCTAGCAAGTACCTCAAAGACTTTTAGAACACAGAAAGCACATGGAGAAGCATGCTGCACTAAAACACATTTTGTTGACTTAGGTGTGGCAATTTTATTGCACCTGTGAAATATTTTCTATTTAAAAGAAAATCCAGTGCCTTCATAACACTCTTGCCAAATCCAACACCTTCAAACATCAGGAGTTCCAAAACCCAGAGTAAACCTCCAAAATCAAGTGGTTTAGAACTGGCAAACTATTACAGACTTCTCCAACTCATCTACACATTTTACTGAGCTTCAAATCCGTTGACTGATCATTATGGTATGATGCAATTTCAGAGCTTTAGGTCTATGATACGAGATAACTTCCAGATAATTTGTCTTTTATAATCACCAAATCTTCCAAAATAAGCTTGCAGGCCTATGTGCCTTAAACTTCAGTGCACTTCAGTAGATTTAGTAGCACCAAAACACGTTCAAATCATTTCAGTAGATATGTAGGAATGCCTGTGGTATTGTATCATGCAGTCATTGTGCTTATCGTCCCAGTTCCTCCCAAAAAACCCAAATCTATATGCTGGCTATAACATATGAGAAAGAGATTATTTGGTGTACAGTAAAAAAAAAAAATAAATTGAGGGTACAAAAAGAAAAGTTTCTTTTCATGACAACACTTTGATAAAAATAATGCAAATGGTTAAGGCACATTAATAACTCATTGTATCAAAAGCAAGTTCTGAAAGAGACATAACTGTGCCAGCTGCTTGCTTCCTGTTTCTGTCTCCAGTTTGGTTAAAAGCCCTGCTTAAAAAGCAGACACTGCAGCACTTAATAATAGGTTGCCATTGGGCAGATTTGTTCTCTTGATATCAAGTGGCATTACACTGGTGTCTGTTGGACACAAGCCATTCACCTCATATGCATTCCAGTAACAAGTAACTAGAAGTAGTTTTTGCCTCTAAAATACGTGTGACCAAATAGAAGTTCAATACATTTAAAGATTATTTGTTCTTATTCAGATACTGATATTTACAATGCTGAGTTCAGTTACCCTGAATTTTATTAAATGAAAGAAAACTGTGGACACAGTTTTTTTTAAGGTCAGTAAATCATTGCAAATGCATCTTTTTAGGTTAAAAGTAATATGCTTGCCCAAAATACTCAGGGAAAAGCAATCATCATCAGTAATGTACTGAACTCAAGATACAGAACTTCCATTAAGAAATGCAGGTGCATAACTTTAAGGTTGTGTTGGGCCTACTGCGCATATGTATAAAGAGGGCAATATCAAACAATAAATTAGGAACATGTAATAAATGTATTGCGCAAGTAAGAACTTCCAACCTCCCAGAGTCCTAGAATCCACTGTCCTCCAAAATATACTCCTACATTTACTTGCTTGTCTGAGCAGTAGTCATCATTCTGTTTCAAAGTCAATCTGTCAGACAAATATTTCTTCTTTCTCTCCAAAAAATAAGGTTTCACTATGAAAGACTCATCACCTTAAGGATCAAGAGCAGCCCTGCCGAGAGGGACTTGGGGGTGCTGGTGGATGAAAAGCTGGACATGAGCCAGCAAT